CTCTCCTCTTTCTCTCTCTTTAATCTCCTTTAATTTAGGGTTATTTTCTCTCTCCTTTCTATCGTTGACATTATTCAAGGTATCTTATTTGACAAATTGAAATTGAAATTAGCCAAATTCTATTGTTTAGGTTTAATTTCGTGATTTAATGTGTTATTTTCAACATTTGTTTCGGAAGAATTATTGAATGATGGAATAAGATGTTTCTGATTGTGATGTTTTGGAAGTGATTTGAAAAATTAATTTCTTCAAGCTTTTATGCTTTGATCGTTCTAATGTACTGCATAGCAAGTATATTCTTTACTTCATTCTATCTATCTAATTGCATAACATTATTCCTTACTAATTCCATATATTTTATGCTTAATTTGTTCTTTGCTTAAATTTAGTTGAATCTAATTACAAGGTTATCCAAACAATGATATAAGAATTCAATTTTTTGATTTCCAAACGAGTTTGAGGAAATGGAATTGGATTTCAAATCCCTAATTTCAATTTAAAAATTTTAATTGAAATCCGTGTTCCCAAACACTACCTTAATTTAGAGCCGATTTTGACAATTTGGAGGCCCGGGGCAAAATGATTATTAAAGAAATCTTTTATTTTTATAGTTATTAAATAGTTTTGTAATTTGTTAATTCGTAAATATTTTATATAATTTGTTAAATACTTTCCCTCTTTATTTAACTGTAGGACATTTTCACTATTCACACTTCTCTTTTGATCTTCTTTTGTGATTTATCCGTTAGAAAAAATTATAATTAAATATTATATTTTTATAATTACTTAAATAAATAACTAGTAATCATCAATGAATAATAACTAATTAATAATCCATAAGTATATAAGTATTTCAATAACTATATACTTAATGACACACTAAAAAAATTCGTTCTTGGTTTGATAACGCACCTTCTTTTTTTTTGTCTTTTTGTCATTTTCATATGGAAAATATTAGTGTAAAATAGTAATGCGTATACATATGATAAATAAAAGAAAATTCTAATATAATACAGTAAAATAATGAAAAAATAACCACAATAAGTCGAACTTTAGGTGATCTTTTAATATTAATTCAACTTTAATAAATTAAAAAATAAGTCTAACATTGATGTCTATATTCGATAAATAATTTAAGTACTAGATTTTACTTGTGATCAATCAAACAAGTCATCATTTGACTTATACTATAATGAACTCTCATTTAAATAAGAATTTTCTTAATTAAAAACAAAATATAGCTTAATATTAACTTTAAATACAAAAAATTAATTTTAATTATAATTATAATAAATAATTTTTTAAAAGACTAGGGTGTCGGGTTTGGTGTGTAGGAATGGGTGGTCATAGGTTCATGCCGACTAGGGTGGGTGGGAGTTGTGTAGCTTCGATCGATTAGATAGGTTGGGGCTAGTTGGGAATTCGCCGCATAAGTGTGGTTTGAGAGTAAGGGTTGGGCTTTGGTTGGGAGTTCGCCACATAAGTGGGTTCGAGAGTTAGAGTAAGGTTTGGGTGGGTGTTCGCTGGAGTGGTTGGGACACTAGGGTGTAAAGTTAAAATGTATCCCATAAAAGGAACCGATGTAGTATTAGAGCAACTCCAATAGTTAGCTAATTAGAAAATTAGCTTTTTTAGGCTACATAAGATTTTAAAGCTAATTTCTTTTGTAGCTAGTTTGTGCCCTAGCTACTAGCTTGTGGTGTTTGCTAGAGAGAAGAAGAATATGTCATGCATGCGTTAAGATTGCAGTTTAGCCCAAGCAATTTAAAGTAAGTACAAACAATTTATACACGTTTTTTTACGAGATAAATTATACAAGCTTTGGTGTGTGAAGATAATATTTGGGAAAATATAGTGTAAATTTAAACTAATACTCTGTACTTTTTAAAACAGGTTTATTCTAAACCCTTAAGAGATGTGCGCTGCCCTATAATTGGACGATCGTATAAAGACTCAGCCCATTTATTTATTAGACGGATCTATCCCTTTAAGAACTGTGTTGGGTCATAGGGATTAAAGCTTGGTTCGTGGAGGCAGATGCACGATCCGCATGGTGCATCTGTCCAAAGTACAAAAAGGCGGAATGACATGCAGGTATATACTAATGTACATGGGCATATAAAAGAACACAGTGTTCATTTATAATTTACATGGACATATACATAAAAGAACATCGTGTTCATTTATAATGTACATCAGATTTTTGTGCAACAATTTTGTATATTATTTTTGTATAATAATATAATTTTTTTTTTGTATAATGAAATAGATAAATAGTACTATAATTATTTTTTTTACCATACATTAATTACAATCATTTTATTTAATTTTTTTTACCAAAAGTTCACTTTCTCTCTCCAAACAAAAACCCATTTAAATTCCTCAAACCCCAAGCAAAATTTCAAGAAATTAAAAATTTTGAGTCCAAAATTGTTCAAGATGACAAATAAAAATGAAAGGTAAGGCCAAATTCGACATTTATACTTATTTATTTGACATTCATACTTGTTTATTTTGAGTTTGAGTATTTTTTTTTTATAAATTTGATTGAAAATTGTAATATTTGATTTTATTGGGAATTAATTGCGATTTTGTTGTTATTTTTTTGTTGCAATGAGAAATAAAATGAAGTTCCTTGAAGAAGATCGTCCGATTAATCCATTTTGAAGAAGAAACCAAGCAAATAGTCAATTTTAGAAAAAGTTTTAGATTCAAATAATACAATGTACATTAAAATACAGTAAAATGTTCTTTTTTCATATACTTACAAGATGCAAATAATACAATGTACATTAAACATGTAACCAACATTATTATAACATATATGTTCATTAGAATATAATACAATGTACATTATAATACAATAAAATGTACTTTTTTATATGCATACATGGTCATTTATACCAAATGTACATTTACTATATGAATACTGTTCTTTAATATTATCAAGTTCTTTACTAATATTACAAATGTTCTTTAGATTTACAAAAAACACATATAAAACTAGATGTTCTTTATAAAATAGCTATATGTTCTTTATAAAACAACTATATGCTCTTTACTGAACAACTAAATGTTCATTCCGCCTTGTTTTTAAAGAAAATTGGATGCACCATGGTGCATCCGCCTTCACAGAAAAAAAAATTCACATAGGGATCCATAGAATTGGTCTCTCTCTTTTTTAACATAACTAGTTATTGGCCCTTGGCGGTCCCCCAATGTGATTTCGTCTCGGTGATTAGTGTATGATTAGTCGTAGTTTATGTGTTAATGTAATTGGTTGCGTTTTGTTTGTCGATTTTCTTTTGCTCTGATTGGTTAGTGTATTATTATATGTGGCCAGCCTTAAATTTAATTTGGCTAATGATCACTTTAGCTATAGCAAATAATGATGCAGACAAAGTGGATAGCAAGATAGCTTTGTTTACTATTACAATGGATGACACACAGAAAACACATGATGTGAGTATTGCTGAGAATGTTGCTAACTGTATTGATGAGCCGGATAAACCTCAACAAAATTTACAATTGACTGCCAGTTAGGAAGATGTAATTTGGGTCAATTGTTATGATTACTGTGTAATTATTCAATGATATATGCGTAGATTATTTCTAATGTTTTATTGGTAACGAAAATAGGTAAAGTTGTTAGCGTTGATCAATGATGAAATTTAATGGAATAGATTGTTCTGCTAAGAAATTAATTAATGTAATATATATGTGTGTTGATTAATGTGTATTGTGTTATGTATTACTAAAGTGGTTGAAAGGATTAAGTTGTTTTTTCTTATAATTATATTAACTATATTAATTATGGAAATAATAAACTTGTTATTATTGTTGTTAAATTGTTTTGAAAGAGTTATAAAAGGCTACTAGCATTTTAATAGTTATAATGATTTAATAATTGGTAATAAGGGTAAAAGAATTGTTTATTATTTTTTGAGATTTTGTTAAAGAATAATGGTTTATTAAAAAAAAGGTTAAAGAAAAAATCCCTTTAAAAAAGGAAACATTTCTACCTATGATAATTTAAGTTTTAATTAAGAATAAGAGTAAGACATCTTGTACGTACATTTCTTGGATACTTTATAACCTAACTTTTCGGAAAAGGAAAATGAAATAAATTGCAAATATTTGTAAAAAGGTATAGAGGCAAAGGATATTGTAGATAACCACTATCACTTTCCCTCCTTTGTTCCTTCTCTCCTTCCTTATTTAATGATACAACAAAATTTACATAGATAATCCATACCCCCCCCCCTTTCATAGCTCTCCTCCTCACCCTTTTTCATCTTCCTTTACATTTTCACACTTATATGATTTTACAATATTTAGAATCTTTTCCATCTTCCTTTAAATTTTCACACTTATTTAGAATATTTAGAACCTAATTCTTGATTACATACTAAAGATGGTCCTCGATTTATAGAGTTTTTCATCTATCCTTTCTCTTTTCCAGAAGCCCATTGCAATTTTTATTTCTTCAATACACATTCTTAATTCCTCTTCATTTCTCTCTTCCATGGCTTCTAAGTCTCTTCTTTAATTAAACACTAAGAATGGTATTTTGAAGTAGTGTTTCTCATCTTTTTCTTTCTTTATTACCCTAAAACATCTCTCAGTCTCTCTCTTTCCCTTTATCTCCCCCTTAACATGGCTATTGTTGACCCTAAGTTTTGATGATTACTCAAGGAACCTAAGCAAACTCATATAAGTTAAACTTTCGTTTTTAGCTTTGATTGATGCCAGGTTATTGCCGAGCTAAACTAAAGTATTATTTAAAGGGGTATACTCAGCTCGGCAAGTCACAAATTGTCAAATCGATCTGTATGTTCTGCAATGATTACTTGTTTCACATGACCTATTTTAGCTGGTTTTGTACCCTTTTGATTCTCCTTACTGATAGACACAGTTGATGATGACTTATCTGTAAGTCTTACAACAGGAATGGATCTCTTCTCTCCTTCAATCGGAGGAATCCATAGTTTCATAGGGCATTTTGAAACGAAGAGAGAGAGAGTAAGATTATGACAAAACCGATTGCCAAGCAACATTTTACAGGAGACCAAAAGAAGGAATCTACACATACATTAAGTGAATTTGGAGGTATACTTTCTTGCATTGGTATTACAAGTATTCCAGCATCTAGAATCAATTCGAGCTCCCTTTGTACCACAGACCCAGAAAGATCCGGTTGGTATGATAGCCCAAGCTCCGAAGATTCTCCAGGTTTCAGAGAAAAAACCTGGCAATTATGTACAACAAAACCATCCAATCCACATTCTCTTCCTGAGACATCTATTCTCTTGACATTGACAGGGTAATCACCTGCATTAAAAGCAAAGACCTTCTTTAATAATGGCTTACGACAGGCAGATATAGCATCCTCATTGTTGGATATATTTAGAGGATAGTTCATAGTAAAATCCAATCTTTGCACATGTTCTGAACCCTCGAGCAAGACTAAGGAAAAGAATCCACCCGATCCATGCAGAGATAATATCTCCAGACCAGAAAGATTACTCCTTATGAACGCCGAGCTCTTCCATTCACATATATCTGAAGGATGAAAATAGATAGGACCCAATCATGCTGTGTCATTTGGATGTAGAAAGGCCTCTGTAACTATACCGTCTGCTACTGAAAACCCACACATACTCATCCTGGTGGAATCATTACAGGTAGAGCTACTTGCAGAAGGTGTCTGTTGATGACCATAACAGGTTTGCAATTATCAACAGTTTCTATTGAGTTTAGTATAAGCTGCACTACGACAGGTTGCTGGCTGGGATTTCTGACCGTAATTGACTTATCATAATATTTCCCAACTGGGAGCAACGGGAGAAAGAGCTCGTGGCTGTCAAGAAAATAGCGCCCACTCATTGAGCTCTGAGTTCTCCACTCTTCATGAAAAAATTCATCTTTCACTGCACCATCCAATGCCTTCATGTAGCAAAAACGATAGTATTATATATTTATTGACAGGAAAGTGTTATTACTCAAACATGGAAAAGCAAACTTATAAGAGCATATAGATAAGAAGGGGTACACAGAAAACATAGGAGCATAGAAAGCGACACCTAAAAAGTTGAAACAACTTCACCGTCATGTTTTTTTACATTTGGGGCAACATGGTTTCCAAAAAAAATATTTTGTAAAGCATAACCATGAATTAATTCTGTAATTTGCTTGGTAGGTCCTGCATAATCATCTGCTAGATGAGCAAGATGATCCTTTAGCCCTTCAAGCTACTGAAAAACCTTTTTATGATGCATTGGGTCACAAAATACCCCCTTCCCCTAATCAACACCCTCTCATTGATCATGATGTTGATAGCCCGGATGACCGACCTTGGAGCTCATCTACTGATACTATTTTAAGAAAATCTAAGTGGTTGGTTAGTGATTGTGGATCATATCTATCTTGCTTTAGATTGCTTCTATGTATTATGTGTGTGTACGATTGTTTTAACAAGACTCAGTGACTATTTTAATATGTTATTATGCTGTTTGATTCCAATTATGCATTCTGAACTTTGATACATGTGATTATTCCCTTTCAATGAGTTGGTTTATGAGCTTTATTCTATAAGTTACTCTTCAAGTGACTTCTTAATCAAGGCACCTGGTAATTAAGGACCAAAAGATTCCTTATTAGCAAAAAATATATCAATCAAAATGGGCAACATAAATTAATAACTCAAAGCACAAAATCAGATGCCATTAGATAAAGCCAAACTTGGAGTTCCTTCCCCTTCTTGTTAAATATCTTCACACAGTTGAAACCCATAATTTGATTTCTCAATTTATGAAGAATATGCTCTTGTCAAAGTATACTATATAAGCTCACAGCACACATCTTCATGACATAGTTCCCAGGAATTAATTCATTTTGATTTTGCTATTGACTGGATGTGGTGCAAAGACTGCAAACAAAAGCCTTTGATGGTAACTTGCAGACAAATTCATGCTAGAATGAATTGATTAAACTATACAAAACTCTTCATAATTTGGCAGCGTAATCATTAATTTAACGAAACAAAATATTAATACTATTCTTTGTCAAATAGCTTATCAAATTTGCATATTTAATTTTCTGTGTTGTGGTTGCTTCTAAAATTCAGAGGAGTTTAGATTATATATATATTGTTAATGGATCCATGAAATTCAACACAAAATTCTTGCATGCCATCATCCATCTATCATCTCCACTTTATAGTCAATCATCATCGTAGTCCATAAAAATTTAACAATATTAAACACACCCAAGTTTTAATCCAAATTCATGATGAAAATATTACACAAAATCAATCAAAAATAAATTAATTCTGGGTATTTACAGTTTCATCAAGGCCCTCTCACGGCGCTAGCTAGGAGCATAATTTTTACTTATATATATAGTAAACAATCAGGCATCAAATTGAATGCATCTATACTTACTACACTTCTTTACTTTCCCTTATAGGATTCTTCACGATCAATCAAACAATAAACCCAATCAAAAATAAATATAAATATCAGTATCAATATCAAAAGGTTAAGATCAAACATTAGATATGAAACAAATAAATAATCCAAACATGTCAACGCTATAAGTATCATACCCCCTCTCCCTAAATACAAAGAATAAGTCAAGTCTAGTTGTCCACAACATGTCAGCACTATTGTCCATGCCTCCACAGCATGGTCCTAATTTAAGGTAATAACACTAATATCAAAGCCTTAAGAATCCTTAACCTCTAATTGCAGAGATGCTGCTTTCATTAATCCTTAGACTAATACCTTAAAAATCTAAAGTAAAACAAAACATAAGCAATTTACCTGACATGCCGATCATCACTGTAAGAATATTTTACAGCAACAGATTAAGCATTCAGCTCATCCCTAATCTGTTTAAACAATGAATATTAACAATGTCAGAAAACAGATAATTACAGCAAGGGCAGCTAACTATGCAAAATAAACAAACCCCGAGCTATGAGAGCCCAGTAGAAATCGAAAACATGGTAATAAAAAGCAAAGCATAACAAACTACACAAAACTAATACTGTTGACCTCTCTTAACTTGTATAAAATATAGAGGTTATCCAAACTATGGCAAATTGGCAATCAATGATAGTCAAAACACTAAATTTCACAGAAAATCACTGATAATTCAAATTTCAGAGAGATGTCATCAATAAATGGTGTTAATTAGGGTAACAAAGTATCCCAAATAGCTCTGAAAATAGTGAAAAATCAATAAAAGCCTCCCAAATGAATAGTTTGAGCATAAACTCGAATCAATTTTCCAAAATCAAAAGGGTAACAAAATTAAAAGAGAACCCACCCCAAATTAATCATCAGTTTCAATTATAACCAAATAGAATTGAAATTAAAAAATCTAGCAGTTACCCAAACAATTCAATCAACCCCACATCAAACAATCCCTTAAGTCCCCAATCAAAACAATCAATTAGATTGCAAAAAATACAGAAAATCTCACCCATATCCATGCTCATAATAAGGTAAATTAAAGAGAAGGGTTTCAAAACCATCGAAAACCCAAGCATCCTTTCCATCGCCGGAAACATTAGCGCGGATTCCAACTCATCTCCGGCGAAAACTTCCGAATCCAACAAGTAACGGTCACTGGTTAATCAAATCATCGGGTTGAATGGCTCCCAAATTCCGGCATCGCCTGTTTTGAAGGAAAACTGACATCTTTCGCAGAACAGTTGGTCACATACAAATTGTGAGTTTCGAGCCTCAAAAGATCTCATTAACAAAGCTGCAACATAATTCAATTAATTTGATATATTAGATTGACAATGGAAAAGAGATTCGGATGAACAAATGAAAATCCGATAATTCAATTAATTTGATATTTTAGATTGAGAAAAACTTACTCCGTACAAAAGAATTGAAGCCATACGAATTGGTACTTGGAGGAGCAAATTAGTGGAAGGCATGATTGATTTATTGCTTGCTTTGCTCTGATTCCATTGAAGAAAGTCTAGAGCAGTTGAAGAAGAACTCTTCAATTGAGGAGAGAGAAAGTGAATGAAGAGAGAGCAAACACATGGACACCAAGCAACGAAAGAAACTAAAAAGACAATCCTACCCCTGGAATTTTGGTGCTTCAGCAAGGGAGACAAAGGGCAGGGGTGGTAATTTCCTGTTCCTAACGAACAGTAAATTTGGAGCATTTTTGGTGCTACAGTAGATGAACTCCGGACTTTTATAAGAGTTACAGACTAGAAGATACGGAGTAATATTTACATTAAACATCCCATAATAATTACAATGAAAATCCATGTTGCAGAATTGGTCTCTCTCAGTCTCAGATTAGTCAGATATCCATTGAAGCGCAGTTGGCGTGAATCTAGTTCTTGTATCCCCCATTGAAGCCGCTTCAATTCTCAGGTAAGTTGTTTGTATTTGTTATCATCATATCAAATATCCCTAAAATAAAATATTCCGTACTTTTTAAGGTCTGCGGTGCCATAGAATTGTTGTCTCTCGGATTACTCAGATATCCATTGAAGCGCACTCTCCATTGAAGCGCAGTTGGCGTTTTCCGTTGAATCTAGTTCTTGTGTCCCCCATTGAAGCAACTTCTGAGGTAAGTTGTTTGTATTTGTTATCATCATATCAAATATCCCTAAAATTATGAGATCGATAATTGAATCAAATATCCCTATAATTATGAATCAAATTTGGTTGCTTTAATGTTAGGATTTAACTATGAAATCAGAGCTCTTTTCCCTCCTGCCCTGCCTCAGGGACGGGCCTCCCTTAATTCATTTATGGCTAAATTGATTTTAGTTATTTTTTTTTAAAAGTAACTACCTTCGATTATTTTTTTGGAAAAATTGCCCGCAATAATTCGACCTTTTGCCCGTCCGTTGAAAATAATCTCACATTTAGATTATTTTTAAATAATTCCACCTTTACCCCCCCGGTCTTTTTTAATGGTCCCAACCGGTCAATTAACTTGTTATACCAAGTCACTTGACACGTGTTAGCACCCAATAGTCCAAAAAATATTAAAAAAATAAAAAATAAAATAACAATTAATTAGTTTAGAAACCACCCACCACCAGCCAAACCACCGCCCCTGCCACCCCTGCGCACTGACCGCCCTGCCCCCCTGCGCGCCGACCGCCCTGCCACCCATCCTCAAACCCCTCCCTCACGAAACCACCCTCTAACCCCTCCCTCCCTCACGAAACCACACACCACTCAAGCCACCGTCGTTCCCGCCACGCGGCTCTTGGCAGTCAGCCCCCTACCCCCCCCCCCCCCGCCAGTCCGGCACGCAATTGACCCCACTCTCCCTCCCCCATCCCTGAACCACGAATCCCCTCCCTCCCCCACGAAAACGGAAACACCCAGCAATCCTTAACCCTCGAAAATCCCTTTCCCGGCCCGATCCCAGCCCCCTCCCCGTCCACCGTCCCTTTTCCAATCACTCCGACCTTTCCAACCCCAATCCCGATCCCAGCTGCCCTCCTCCGACCTCGAATTAGGGTTTTCGATTTTGCCGTGGGTTTTGGTGGAATGGTGGGTTTTCGATTTTTCGAAAAGGGGTTGGGGTTGGGTTGGCTGGGGTGGGGTGGGGTGGGATGGGATTCCGGTCAGCGCGTCAGTGGAGGTGGTTTCGAGTTGGTGTTCAGAGGCGGTTTGGCGCATCAGTGGCAGTGGTTAAGGGCTCTTGGTTTGGGTAATGGTGGGGATGGTGGTGCTGAAAGGTGATTTTTTTTTTTAATTTTACTTTTTTTTTATTGTTTTTGTTAATTTTGGACAAATCAAATGATGACACGTGTAAATTAAATTTAATTAAAAAAAATTACCTCTTCAACCGGTCACTGGTCATCCGGGACCATTTTAAGCAGATTGGGGGTAAAGGTGGGATTATTTAAAAATAATCCAAAGGTGGGATTATTTTTAGCGCACGGCTTAAAGGTGGGATTATTCCGGGCAATTTTTCCTATTTTTTTCTCCTTTCTGGATTCACCAAGAATTAAGGTATGTGATGTGTTGTCTCAGATTGATTCGAATCTGTTCATAATTTTGAATTTTCGTGCATAGAAACCCTAACTTTGAAGTTCATTCATACTAGAGTGTACTCGTGCTCATACACGGGATATATCTTTATTAATATGTAGTATGTATGTTTATGAAAAAAAAAAATAGAAGCGGAAGTTATTAAAGGGTGGTTATTGAGTAAAAAGGGTGGTCTAATACGTCTCTTATTGAAATTCTAATCATAAATTGTCCTTTTCTTAAGTGTGTTAAGATCCGATTGCCTTTCTGTCATTTTGAGAACCCAATTTCTCAAATATCCCCGGGTTGGAATTTTTTGTTAGAGCTTAATAATATGTTTCACCTACATTATCAATATGATTGATGTATGCTTATGTTGTACCCTTGCATTAGCAAATTGATCGAATCGGAAACTAAAGATACCCAATACAATAATCTACTATATCATCAAGTTTGATTTTTTGCTATAAACTATGAGTGTTGAGAAATGTAGTAGTAATCTAAACTTCGGTATAGTATGGGGAGTTGAAATGAAAGTGGAGGTGTGGAGTAATGAGACAACTGCCCCAAAAAATTGGGCACATTTAGTTTTTTTTTTTTTTTTGAATGAAAATGAGATTACAATTAGATTAAGTTAATGTTGATCTCTTTAGACACCAGTTATTAGATGATGAATTGTGTGTATGCACGTGTGTATTCCACCTTTTTTTTTTTTTTTTGAAATTTAAAGTAAGGCTAAAAGGCGGGAGTGAATGTGACCCTTAGGATTGGGGATTTATATTATATTAGAATGTACCCATGCTTTAATACATTGGGTTATTTGTATGTGTAGGAAACAAATTAATATAACTGTATAAGTGGAAGTTACGTAAGTGAAAGTTATAGATTTTTTTTAAAAAAAGTAAGTTTTTTTTTAAAAAGTTATTTATTTAGGGTTATTGGAGTTATTTGGAAGTTATTTTCTTAAAAAAAATAAAGAAAAACATAAAAATAAAAAATAAAAAAAGAGAGAGAATGCATAAGAATTGAGAGATGGGGGTTTGGAGTGTTGTGAGGAAGTGTTGCAAAAACGTCTCTTACCCGTGCAAAATGCACGGGATATATAAGAAAAAATATATTTAAAATATGAAAAGCTGATTTTGATATTGTAATTTAGACTTGAGCTGTAATGGTCGGTTTTGGACTGGTGGGTTTTGTTGAACCCTAATTAACTTTGTTGTACTAAGTATTAATAATCATATTAATAATGTGATGACACCTGCTGTGCTATGCTGAAATATGATATTCTATGCTTTAATTGCTTAGAAGCTCAAAAAAAAGGGTCTTACTATTTTATGTTAGTGGTCACGCAATGCTATTTTGAAGTTTACTTTTTCAAAGTTATAGAGGTTACTCGTTCAGTGTTATAGGGGTTACTCGTGTTACTGGGTTAGTGTCATATGAGTTGGTGTCTTGCTTTAGGAGTTACATACTTTGTTCTGTTGCAAGTAGTTATTCGCTGAGGCCAGTTCCACAAAAACGTGTTGTACATTTTTTATTTATTTTTTTTTGCTTTTGATGATTAAAGAAACGGAAAATGTTTGGAGGGTAATCCCTAAAAAAAATGCATATAATTGAAGGGTTGGGGATTTATAATACTATAGTGAATGGTTGATAAAGAAACTGTATACTCGTGGTAATGCATGACATATATTATACTATGCACCAAAAAAATACTCGTAAAATAAAGTGAAATTTTAGTACGTAGTGTTTAAAAAAAGTGAAATGTTGGGGATTTTGAGTGCTACAGTGAATTGTATGTGGAGATATATATTGTATTGTAAAATAGTAAAAGCGAATTATTTATTTATTTTTTTTATCTAAAATTTAGAGAATTAAAAATTATTGCCAAAAAAAAAGAAAAAAGATAAAGGTAGTTATTTTCCTCCGAAAAAAAAATAAAAATAGTGAAAGTTGGAGAGGAAGTTATCCAAAAAAAAATATTAGAATGCACAGAATTGCTTCATTCAAGAATTCAGGTATTAGAGTGCTGTGAATAAAAGTTGAAAAAACAACTCTGTATATATATATATATATATATATATATATATATATATATATATATATATATATATATATATATATATCAAACACCACCACTGCCACCACATTTGTGATAAAAAATGTTAATGTTGGGGTTTCAATTTTAAACCCAACCTACCATCTTCAACCTCAAACATTCTCTCTCTTCGCCCCACCAACACTATCCAATCTCTAGCTTCTCCGTCGCCACCACCGCATGTTATATAGCCTTTACGCCGCCACCTCCACCACCAGCACTCTTTCTCATCTTCCCGCCATCATGGCTACCATTCTCTCTCCTCTCCCACGACAACCACCATCACCACATGCTCAAGAATTTCGTGTGTTTGGTATCAACTTCTGAATAATTACAATCGAGAATTCAAGTTGTGAAGCTTAATCAAAGGTAAACCAAGCTTAATTGACAGTTTGATATGTGAAATCAAAATTTTTTTCATCCAAATCAATCAAATTGGGCAAATTATAGAGTTTGAAATTTCAAGGAATTTTAATTGATTTAAGAAACAAAACAACAATTCAACAATTTTATGTTACGTTAAAAATAAAGAATAAATTGATTTCGAATCAAATCGTTGTAAAAATCGAATTTCAATTCCTGATCAATATTAACGAATTATGTTCAAGAAAATATAAGTATGTTCTAAAAACTATTACAGATGTTCTAAAATATGTTGCATATGTTCTAAAAAAGATTGCATAGGTTCATATTTGTTTTTGAGTTCAAGGTCTTAAAATTTAAGTATCGTGTTCCAATTAAAACTATATTCAGTAAAGCTAAGTTTATTCTTCTAAGAAATATTACATATGTTAAGAATCATTGAGTCTAGATTCTAAATTTGTAGGCATTTTGTTCCAAAACCTATGCTACAAAAAGTTAAGTGTGATGCTCTAAAAGATGTTACATATGTTCCAAAAAGTTCTTCTAATGTTCTAAATTTTAAAGTGTTCTCACATAAGTATAATATTCTCACATATAAAGGTGTTCTCACCGGATCCCTCTCTCTCTCTCTCTATATATATATATATATATATATATATATATTTAGGGTCAAATGAGAAATTACTTAAAATGAGAAGGATGAGAAGGATTTTTTGTGCAAATATTTTGTATTAAATGTGCAGTTTTTTTGAACTAAATGTTTGAAGTTTAAAAGAATTTTTAAAAACTAGCGCAAAGTATATCTGCTCCACTTTCTTCTCCGGCCATTGTCAACATTCATCACTTTCTCTCTCCTACTCTAAGCTCTAACAATGCAACCAATCTATTACGACTCTCACTTTTGATTGGTAAATTTTAAACTGTTGCTTTATATTATATGCGTTGAAACAACTTTAAAATGTTATTGACGATATTGCTAAGTCCAAGAGATTTTGGAGGTTAACGAATCGTGAAAAGATTTTGATAAAACATGTATAGATTAAGAAGCATAAATAAAAGTCGATTGATGCTGAACATATTAAGAGCAGCAACAACCAAAACTGAAGGCATAACAGTAGATAAGATTTATATGTTACGGTTAGTTATCGACTTCCGACGAACTTGCTCTCTACCTCCTGCAAAACCGAGCGACTAACAATGAATGTATCATAACACCTCAATATTTGTTGATGCTGCCAATCAATTCAACAAAAATTAGAGTTCACTAGAAAAGTATCAACTATCATTAGCAACTCCAAAGTCACTACTTATACATACGATGATATTGCATTTATAATTTTTTTTTCAAAATTATGAACAAATAGTACCACCAATGGGATGTAGTTGTGATAGGAGGTTGGTAGTGGTGTTGCATTATAGATTAATGGTAGATTGGTAGCAGGTGGATTATTCAAATAGTGAAAAACGAATATGCATAATATTTTTACTATATGCATAATATTTTAACTAAATGTGCATAATATTCGTACTATATGTGCATTTTGCATTGTTGTAATGTGAACCTTTAGATTCCTTCTCATTATAAGATCCTTCTCATTGGATCACAACCCTATATATATATCGATTATCTTCTGCCCCTTCTGGTTATTAACTATATTTTTGTTTGTTTGAAGGAAATTGTAATTGTAATCAAGGTGATGGACATCACAATTAAGGTAATTGTTTTCTTTACCAAATTTTTATTATCTTTTCTGTCTTTGTCCAAAATGCACATGCACTTTAGTCGACTTGCCAGTTTTCGTTTTATTGATTTGATTTGATTAGTTAATTATTTACTCCTTGTAATTTACTTAGTTGAAATAATAATAATAATAATAATAATAATAATAATAATAATAATAATAATAATAATAATAATAATAATAATAATAATAATAATAATAATAGTAATTGTGAGTGATAAAACCCTTAGTTGAAATGCATATCTCGAGGTAAATTAGGAATTTCCCCTAATAGCACAACCCTGCCCCATCAAAAATCAAAATATCAACTCATCTCATTGTTGATTATAATATTAATTTTCAGATACAGGTATTCGCACTTCCTGGCTATGATGATGAGACATTCACATTGGACGGTTTCAAATATTCCGATACCATATTCAATGTCAAGTCTAAGATGTGCAAGAAATTGAGTGAAAATGGGTTGGCATTAAATGATCCTGACCGAGTCGAGATGTTATCATCTGAAGGACTCTTCTTGACAGACGACGACAGGACATTAGGATCTTATTATCCTGCCTGTCACCACCCCACTCTTGCCATTTTTCTATTTCATCGTGATAAAGAAATGGAAGATGCGGCTTTGGAGGAGAGTCGCTGGGAGGCTAAGTGTAAGCAAGTGCGAGAGGAAGAGGAAGCAAAAGCAGAGGAGGAGGAGAAGAAGAACAAGGTCAGCAGGAAGAATGGATATTCAATGGCGAGGGAAGCCAGACCTAAAACCAAGGATTTAAAACTCCAACTCCCTTATGTTGCTGAGTTAGAAGACCTTGGCATTGATGGCAATCTCAAGTTGTACAGCGAGGTAGGGTCATCTCTTCCTGTGGTGGATGTTGAGTCAGCCCACTCTGTCTGCACCTCTGCATCTGTCGTACTTTTGGCTCCCAATGACCGGATTTGGAAGATTTTGCAATCTAATTTGGCTGCTAAGTCCGAGTACCTTATTGTTCGTGTGAGTTGGGATATATTGTCGTATATAGCTCTGAGAGAAATCAAGGCATGCTACCCTGATGATCGTCATCTTCCCTTTGTCGCTGTCACTGACTTAGACCCCCACCACCTCGACCTCTTAACGTTCCTTGACACCCCTCCCGATGCTGTATTCAATTGCTATGGGTGGGATCTAGACTTAGAATCTAAAGATGCATCTTTTTTGGTTGAATATTTGGACATCAAGTGGCTCGGCCTCAGGCCTTCTCAGCTCAACAGTCTTAGTCTCCGTACTGCTGATTCTTCTGATGACCATGACCATGCCTGTCGTGGATCTGCTTATGACTTTGGCAAGGTTATTTGTATGCTCAGGGTGAATCCCTATATGCGTAGGAAGGAAGACTGGTTGAAAGCATTGGACTAGCTTGAACAGCATGGCAAGAGTGTACTATTTCAGCCTCGCTATTTCGACAACGATTTTATCCCCAAGAAAGTTCCTGCAAAGGATTGGGTTTAAATTTAAAAACCCACCTACTTACTAGTCTAGGGCTCTAATGCTTTACTTGTATATTTTAGTAGTGTTTTTATGTCTGCTACTCTGATGTTAAGTTGTACGTACGAGCTTCTGGATTCCAGTGCGTACTTGTATGTGTTCTAGTTATGTCTATGGTTTGTAATGGTTTATTTTCCAGCAATATGAAATGACGTCATGTTTTTTTTTTTTTTTTTTTTTTTTTTGGGTTAATTCTATTGGTCCTGTTAGCGTCTTCTTGTTGTAGTAATCTCTAATTTCCCTGTCCCTACCCAACCCTCGACTGATATTAAGTCTTTTATAGACATGATCTTTGGGCTGAGGATTTACTCTTTGCTCATTTACTTATATTCCCAATTACCAAAAATTTTTAATTTGCTGTCTTTTCTTTATTTATTTTTTTTATTTATCATGCTTAATATGGGCATGAGGACAAGCTTTACAAATCAATAGCAATAGTGAATTGAGCGTAGAAAGTGTAAACTTTTACTGTAGATGAGCTATATCTTTTGGTTGACCAGGTTTAGCAGCTTGGCTTCTCATCAAATGCTGCGACAACTGTTCTGAGTCGTGAAGATGGTGCTTGTAGGGATTCTGGTATGTTAACCTCCTCATTTTACCATCCGACTAATTTCTGTGTTTTTTTGTTGTTGATGAATGGAGACAATCTTTGTGTCAATGTGCTTTGTTTATTTAGTACTTCGTATTATGGAAGCAATACTAGTAGGCTTTCCAGTAAAGTTTATTCTTTATTGTCTTTTCTATTTGGTAGATGTTATAATTGTTCTTTGGGTTAGAGTTTGCAATTTTAATGTGTGTGTGTGATGATTTTACATGCAACACGTGTTTAGTGCGTGTTGTGTGTTTGAAATAAAACTCTTAGCTTTTTAATTTTCTTCTCTCTTTTCTTGTTCATGTTGCTCATCACTGACGTATCAAACTAGGGTTTTTCTAAGTGCAATGTTTTTTTGTTTCTTTTGTTTTTGTTTTAAATAGAAGTCTTTTGAATTTTGTTTTTATTTCTTACCTTTGGTGTTTGTAATTACAGTTTTGTGAGCGTCTTTTTTCCCTCAGTGGAATTCTGGAAACTTGTTTATGTGCTTTCTTTTTTCTTCATAAGATTCAGAATTTCAAATCTAGGTTTTGCAGATCCCTAAAGCTTTTAGCCCTTTCATCAATGGATTGAGATTCAGATCTGGGTTTTGTGGATTTTTAATTATTTCAATATCTCATAGCTACACTCGGGTAAGTTCCTTTTGGATTATCACCGGATTCCCCTTCTCCATCCCTCCATTTCATGATGATTTATGAGGTTTTATCCAATCCTTGTTTATTCTTGTTAATTTACCTTCGGTTTTTGTTGCTCCAATTTCCTAATCTTTCAGTTATAGTGTTGGATCACGATTTTGATTTCTTTGGTTTAAAAAAAAACCGCTGATTTGTTTTTGTTCGTGTTTAACTGTATGGGAGAAACCAAAGAAAACAATGCTAGGAGGAGCTTCCTGATCATGATAAATAAGGGGAGAAGGTACCGGATCCAACACTCACCAAAGCTAACGGCGAGTGGCGAGCCACACACTAATAATGTACCTTTCTTTTCATTCTCTTATTGCTTTATAGTAATGTTGTTGATTACGAGAAAGTACTGTTAGCTGATTTTTTTTCATATCTTTCCTGGGGTTTATGTCTTGGTTGTTTTGTGTAATAGAGATTAATTAGCTGATATGAGGTGTTAGAATTATTTCCATTTTTGCTGAGTAGGGTGGCCAACTGTTTATTGTTGCTACTATTCCATTTTTCTTAGGTTAGGTACTTAGATTTTTTGCGGTTTCATTGATTTTTGTTTTTATAAGGTGTTAAATGGTGCCCTACTGTTGTTGCATTTCAGTTTTTCTTCTGTTAGGCTTTTTGCTCCTATAATGGTGGTCACTCAGTGTAGCAAAGTGGTTAAAAAAAAATCTGATATTTCAAATAATCAATTGTATAGGAATGGAAATGAATATGTACCATACAGGTACCAGACTTTATTTAATACTTTGGTGCTCCATATATATCCTATATTGTTAGTAGGTCTTCGATTTTTAATTTTTTGCAGAATGGCTTCCTAACCCAATATGTAGCACACAATTTTTGGGTTTTTGAGGCCCTGGAAAAAATGTTCGAGAATCATAGGGGGTTTTGTTGAGTAATGCAATGCACCTACGTGAGTGGAGACGAGACAATGGAGACCCTTTGAAGGTGTCAAAAGACACATTATTCCGCCTAATTCGAAAACCGTGCAAATGTGATTCAAGTGCAATGCTCGTTACTAGGTGCACTACGCATTACTTGAGTTGAATTGCTCGTTATTTGAGGATAGGAATAGAAATGAGTCCTGACGAGATCTTGGACCCAACTATAAATATTAGGGTAAATGGCAACGGACCTCGGAATAGCTTCCCGGACAGCCAAAATTGAAACCTATAGTGCACGATTTTCCCATAATATGTGAATGAGCAAGGATTAGAGAGTCGGTGGTCACTCACTGTTGGTGTAGCAAAGTGGTTAAAAAAAAAATCTGATATTTCAAATAATCAATTGTATAGGAATGGAAATGAATATGTACCATACAGGACCAGACTTTATTTAATACTTTGGTGCTCCATATATGTCCTATATTGTTAGTAGATCTTCGTTTTTTAATTTTTTGCAGAATGGCTTCCTAACCCAATATGTAGCACACAATTTTTGGGTTTTTGAGGCCCTGGAAAAAATGTTCGAGAATCATAGGGGGTTTTGTTGAGTAATGCAATGCGCCTACATGAGTGGAGACGAGACAATGGAGGCCCTTTGAAGGTGTCAAAAGACACATTATTCTGCATAATTTGAAAACCGTGCAAACGTGATTCAAGTGCAATGCTCATTACTAGGTGCACTACGCGTTACTTGAGTTGAATTGCTCGTTATTTGAGGATAAGAATAGAAATAAGTCCTGACGAGATCTTGGACCCAACTATAAATATTAGGGTAAATGGCAACAGACCTCAGAATAGCTTCTCGGACAGCCAAAATTGAAACCTATAGTACACGATTTTCCCATAATCTGTGAATGAGCAAGGATTGGAGAGCTGGTGGTCACTCACTGTTGGTGTAGCAAAGTGGTTAAAAAAAATCTGATATTTCAAATAATCAATTGTACAGGAATGGAAATGAATATGTACCATACAGGGACCAGACTTTATTTAATACTTTGGTGCTCCATATATGTCCTATATGGTTAGTAGATCTTCGTTTTTTAATTTTTTTGCAGAATGGCTTCCTAACCTAATATGTAGCTGACAGGGTAAAGTCGTATCCCCTAATCAAAATTAATACCTAAATCCTCTAACTAATGTAGATAGGGAAGTAGGGTCGATCTCCACAGGGAAACAAGTCTTTCTATTCCTAATTAATTAAATTAATCTAGATTATGAAGTAACCAATATTTATATTTGAAAAAGAAACTAAACTACTAAGATTGAGAATAGGGAGAAAACAATATATAAAAGGATCTAGGGCATAGGTTCACCAATAAATAATACTCCAGGGTAAAACATAGTAATCAATCATTGACATTGCTTAAATAACATGATTAACAGGCTCTCGCAATTTATTAATCAACATAGATCTAACAGGCTCTCGCAATTTACTAGATCTAAGTTCTTATTGAAAATAGCCTTTAATATCAAATTAACATCTGCTCGATTCATCAATTCAATATTGCTATACTTTTACAAGCCGTAATTGTAAAACGTTAAAACAATTCAATAAGAAATTATCATGCAATACTAATAATCAATAATAGTCAACCATCAATGCATCAATTAACCAGATTGTAAAGGGCTTTCGCTACGTATTACAATCACAGAATTAATTTACCGGTATTAAATCTCATCTCTCGAATCTCGACTTAACCATATATAAATTAATCTGCCTATTGAAACTAGACCTAAACATTAATTCTCATCTCTCGAATCTCGAATCAATATTGTCAAACTCATGCATAAAAGATCAAGCCTAATCTAGTTACAAAGCATTAAATCAATCAATAGGAAATTAATCTAGCATTGATAATTAACAACAATAAATTACCCCTTCATATTATTTATGGATCCCCACAAACCCTATAATTAAAACTACTCACACATAGTAGAAATTAAACTAACCAAAGAAGTAAAGCAAGGCATGATAAAAGAAATAAAGTAAATAACTAAGATTAAGAGAAAAGAAATCGTTACCAAACTAATCTGTATTAATGGAAAATAACCAAGAACAAGAGTTGAGAGAAGAGTTAAGAGAGAGAAAAGATCCTAAGTAGAGAGAGAAAGTCTAAGGAAGAAGATTAAGAAAGAGTAAAAAGAAGGTAAAGAAGTACTAAATTCGTTTTACGGAGAAGTATTTATACTCCGTAAGAATCCTAAACTAAAACAAACTTAAACGACGCTAATCGTCTCCTACCAATAACACGCGCCCGATCGGGCGAAGGGCCGCCTGATCGGGCGCGCCTTTTTCTTTGCGTTCCTCCCAAGCAGCATCGCCCGATCGTGCTAGCTGCTCGCACGATCGGGTGCGCCTTAGCATGCACATCACTATGGTCTTGCCGCGCCCGATCGGGCTAGAGGTTGCCCGATCGGGTCCTTGCTCCCCTTTGAGGCTTGGACTTCGATTGGGCTAGATTTCTCGGCCCAATCCGGATTTCCTCCTCGGGTCTTGAATACTTGGTCCAAATGCCTCGGGACCCCAATTACCGAGCCCTTAATCCCCGGCACTCACCGATCTTGGGATCCAAAAGTGGTCGTGTCCTTCTAGCTTCCGTAGTTGATCCATAAAGCCCGGGAAAATGCTCCAAGAGTGCAATTTCCTGTAAAATACAACTAAACTACGAAAACACTAGAAAACACAAATTAGTAATAAAAGTGGCCCGGAAGAGCCAAAAACACTACTAATAACGACCAAGGGACGGGGGTAAAACATTATATAAAATGGACATATCAGTAGCACACAATTTTTGGGTTTTTGAGGCCCTGGAAAAAATGTTCCAGAATCATAGGGGGGTTTTGTTGAGTAATGCAATGCGCCTACGTGAGTGGAGATGAGACAATGGAGGCCCTTTGAAGGTGTCAAAAGACACATTATTTCGCCTAATTCGAAAACTGTGCAAACGTGATTCAAGTGCAATGCTTGTTACTAGGTGCACTACGCGTTACTTAAGTTGAATTGCTCGTTATTTGAGGATAGGAATAGAAATGAGTCCTGACGAGATCTTGGACCCAACTATAAATATTAGGGTAAATGGCAACAGACCTCAGAATAGCTTCTCGGATAG